AAGTCCTGTGCAAAAACGCATGATCGCACGGGCCCGTCCGGTGCGTTCCAGCCTGGGTTTCATTTGTTTCGGTATTAATTGGTACTGTGCAGGCCCGGGGATCACAATTACCATTAGCCTACTTTTAAAGAACCCTTAGAAGAGGGCCCATTGACAGCTCTGTCAGTGCTTGGTAGCTGCTGGCGTACACTGACACTCGAGATACTTCTGAGTTTCTTTGTGTCTTACAGAGTCTGAATAAGGGGAGAGTTTTGAGTTTGATTTGTTGCTAGATGTGAAGAAGAAACAAAAATTCTGAATGCACTTGCAGTTACTGGGAAACCTTGAATTGTGCTTTGTGGCATCGCTTTGACACACTCATGGATTTGCATAATTCGAGTCTGCGTGATTTCGATGTACGGAAAATGCAGCCTCAGCCCGATACTCGGCCCCACTACGTGAGTTTTGGTGGTGAACTGATATAACTTGTGGTTTTCACGTTATTGTTAGAAATTTATAGTGAAGGCGTGAAGCTTATTGAGAACTTGAAACTCCAATATTATATTTGTGGACCTAGGAAGAAAGGATTTTTTTTTAAATTCGCTGGTATGGTGTTCACTCCAGACGCTTAAGGTTCTGGTATTTTTCCAGAAATTTTATATAGCTCTTCGGAATTTCGAAAAGAAAATTTCATTCTATCAAATAGTTAGAATTCCGAATCAAACCGGTGGAATTAAAAAGCAGCGAATTAGCTTCCTTTTTTTGAATATTTTTTCGCTTCAGATTTTACGACGTTACGCCGAATTTACATGCGCACTTTTGATCTGCAGTCAGGCATCATTTCGATGCATCGACCCAAGATTGCAGGTAATTTTCACTTCACTAGTGGTTCTGGATACAGCGATAAGTTTGATAATTTCGTTTATTATTTTTTAGCGCTGTTTGAGCAAGCAGCAGGCGGAAATCGAAAATTTCCTTAATCGTCTTGCCGGACAAATGGCAAGCCCTGTACAGAAATTGGTCTGCTTTATCAACAACTACGATCTTATACTCACCATATTTGAGGTTTGTTATTATTTATTAGCGCTTTCGTTTTTACGGACTTTTGCGGAATAATGCTGTGGCACTATGCTTTCTGCAGATCAGGCCTTTGCTGTAAAATTAACGCAGTTTTTTGTGGCATTAAAATAGCAGTGATAAGGGCCGTCCAAAAATCACCTGGGGTGTTTCTATCAGCTATATCTGTCCCATACCACTTCCCTCCTAAATCAGATGGCGTACCTGCGACTTTTATTCAGATGCTGCGCACTTTGTTCTGAGGCTGTGCGAGTGTTTATTTTCATAGTTCCACTCGTTTTCACGCAATTACTGAAAAAAAAAGGATTGCCTAGCAGTTTAATTCAATAAAGATTTCTGGTCAGCAATAGCCGTGACTCGTCGTATCGGTCGTTGATCTTTCAGGAGCGTGCCACATTCGATTCGAAGGAGAAGTCTTCATTTTGGGAATCACAACAGAGGCGTATCAACGAGTATGTGGATTTGATGTTACGGCCACACTTCGGCGATTTGATTGCATTTGTGAATGAATGTGAACCACTGATTGAGCAGGGGCACAAGCAGCTTTTAACTTCTTATTCGGGTGCCCGTTTTCATTTCAGTTTTCTCTTTACATGCGTCGAGTTACTGCCCTCAGTAGCCTCGCTGAAACTGACTGCGCCCATGCAGTGACAATCTCGTGCCTCAGTCAAATGTAGAAGTGGAGTTTAATCATATCGTTAAAGTAGGCTAATTAATTAACATTTTTTGCAAATTGGGACCAAAAGGAGCATCCATCCTTTTCCATATACTCTTAAGACCAAACTGTAGCGCAACTCTGTTTACAAATTCTCATTTTCATTCTCATGGTCAACTTCCAAAAGTCTCTACAGCCCAGTTTGCTGACTTCCGATTTTTTCCCCTCATTCACTTAGACGTGGCAATCTGGATGTAATTATTTGCTTCTGCGATGCTTTTGGATTTACAAACTGTTACTGCTCTCAGCAGTCTTGGCGGCAAAAAATTCCTCTAGCTGACTGGATGAATTTTTCTGCTTCGTTAGTTGAATTCTGTCCTATGTCTCATACAGCTTTCCATCTTTTAGTTTCATTTTTTCTGCATTTTTTTCCTTTTTTTTACCTCTTCCCATCCCACACTATCCCACAAAGGATCTGCTTACAAATCTGACTGCGCTTATCATTATTTTAAAAGTCAACTATAACTTGGCTCCTTGTAAGCATGTGTTTTAATAATAGCAGGAGTTCGGCACATAGCAGGTGGGAAGCTGTAATGATGATTTTCGCCCCTACCTGTACGCAAAATTCGATCTGTGTTTACAGCTAAGAGATGAAACACAGACTGCATCCTAATATGTCTTTTTACACATAACACTTAGTCCAGTTCCTTGTTTCTTGTTCTGTTGTTTCACAACGTCTGTACAGTTCTTGTAATTTTAGTCGGAATAGTTCTGATGATTTTAGTCGTGACTGGAAAATTGTGTTCATGTTTGAATAGTGATTCACACATAAAAATAGTTTGCCAGAACAGCTGTGTGAATTTACGTGGATTGAAGATGTTCAGAGGGGGAAGATGAAAAAGTTGCCAGCTGCATCAGTGGCGAGAAGGAGTGCGGCGATGAAACAGCTAATCAGTCTCTGTTGGTGTACATTTTTACTACAGCATTATGCTTATTAACAATTTTTAAAGAGAAATAATATGTTTCAGATAGGGTGGGGACGATTGTGCGCAGTTTTAGTGTGAATTGGAAAAGATCAGTCGATGCAGTGAACAGAGAAATCGTGTATTCATTTACAAATTTCAAAAATGGCACAAATATCTTGCAGGTTAGCACTCTTGCCTCTCTTTGACGGAAACAATGGACTGTGCAACATTTTATGCGTGTGTAGTCTTTCTTGGGAGGTGCTGCCATGAAAGCCTTTGAGGCTTATCAGTTATTCGTCGAGTAGTAGTATTCAAGCAGCCTGCAGACGAAGGGATCGGATCCTTCGTTGAGCCGTGTGTCAGCACTTCTGACGACTCTCGGTGGAAACGTTATCAGTAGATCTAAAACGATGGCTTCTCCGTTCCAGAAATAACTGTATCGGAGGACTGATTTCCCACAAAAGGAAGGATTCTTTTCATATATCGCATCATTGGTCACAAATTTTTTCCGTTCAGAATGGCACTCTTTGAGTTTGGTTAGCTGGCACGATTTCTGCAGACAGAGATGCATTTAGAATCCGGGTTATTGTGTTTTGCTTCTCAGTGCTGTCTTTTTTTTCCTTCCAGCCTCCCAATGGATATGAAGAAAAAGAAGCCCATCCAGTTTTCTGTTACTGTGATAGGCCAACAGCAGTTTTGCTCTTTGGCAATAATCGGACTTCTAAACATGATGGCGACAGCGCCACAACCGGTATAGCGCCCATTTGGAAATTTCAGTGTGTATTTCAGGCCGCATTCACACAGATAGTTCAGTACTACCATCGCTTCAGCAAGGTGCTATCGCATGAAGTTTTCGCTGAGAATGCTGTTTTGAAGGAATTAGTCAACATTCATCATATTATGGTGGAGCTGAAGAAGTACAAACCAGTTTACTAGACATCATCAAGATTATGGCGACTGTCGTTATGTTGCTTTGATGTTACTGAAATTGTTCATTAGGCACACAGCTACGCAGGAAATTCTCAGTTCATATACCGTGCGAATGCTCGCTTGTAATACTGCCGCATATTCAGGAGCTTTGCACTGTATATGAAGCATCCTTTTGCTCATGTATTATGCAGAATGCAGATATTATACAGATCAGACGGAGCACAGTGCAGCGTACTGTGCTTCCATCTGTATAGTATTTGCACTTTATGCAAAATCTGAGCAAAAAAATAATACCTACATTTTGTATAATAGACAAGTACAAAAAATGTCATAAATCTGCGCTTTGTACAATACCCAAATAAATAAATAGCGGCGCGCACCGGA